GAAAAATAATGTGCCATACATCTGCAGGATTTCATGCAGTGATTTTAATTGAATGAATATAATTTGATACTAGATCTAAGAATTTCCAAAACAGAAGAAAATTTGGCTGAAAAATTAGAATTCAGAATAGGCCAGATAAACAAGATTCTTAGAAAAAAAATGTACCATAATGAAAAAGCTAAGCAAACTCCTTTAGAAACACCTGCCTGTGTACCTTAATGGCACATAATAAAGTCATTAAAAGCAGTCAGAATCCTGGGTTTGAAAACATATCCAGATTTCCTCTAAACTGTAGAGGTAAAATTGAGTCAAACATTCATATGACGACAGGTTCGAGAAATTTTCACAACTAACTTTTAGGATTAGCCTACCTGGAACAATCACCTTAATGTACAAATTAGACCAGGTTTGTACTGATGATGCCCAAAAGAACTATCTGTGGTAAGAGGGCAGTCTTAGGTTTTCATCTTTCCACAAGCTGAGTGGAAATTGAGAGAGTATGAGACTGTTAGTGACTATGTTATTTGGATAAATATCCAAAGGAGGATAAAAAGTAAGTTATGGTCTGCACAACTCTCTCTTTTTGTAATTTGTAACCTATTAAACTGAGGCATTTACATTCTTACTTTGTGCCTTATGTGGCATTTTTTAAAGTTATCTCATGGCACACCACTATAAAGGTCATGTAGAAGGTTCCTGTATGGGACTGACATTTCAATAACCCCAGAAAACTTTAATCATCAGAATTGCTCTGGCTCCGCATGACGCACAATCAAAAATTAACTGCAAAAACCAACCCCCGTTTAAGGATTAAAATGGAATCAATCAACACCAAACTTCACACGACATTAGGACAGCTAATCTCATTCAATTCTAGTGAGTAAATTTTTTTGGGCACATCCATTTTGGGATTACTTAAGCCCTTGAAAGAACATCCTCACAGACCGCGTAAAATGGCGGCAAAAAACCGGTGATATTTCACGCGAAAAAAATGTACCTGGTACCACATATTTTAGATTTTCCACAACATATTCGTGAAATATTGCTATTTTCCATTCACTGTGGAAAGTGTGATACTCGGAATCGCATTGCTTCCCTTCGAAAATAGCAGAAATGTTTGTGACTCGAGCGAGCTAAATGATGCAAAGTGTGTAACAAACAACAAGGTAATTTAATCATATTGAGTTGTTAAATCTCCAAATTAAATCCTGCCTCCGCTGTGTCGGTTTGTAGCTTGGAAAATTTAAAGTGACAAGTAAACTATTCCGTAAGATATTTGAAAAGGTTCTACAAAATATTTTTTGGCTAAAAACCTGCAAGTGAAGTGCATATTACATTAGCACCATCTCACATTCAAGTAATGCAAAAGATACATTCGAGAGATGCTACTTAGTAGATTAGTACTTGATTCCATGCTGATAAATTAGATATTTTTTATCTTTTACTTTGAGAACTCATTTTCTGTAGGTATAAATACATGGAAAGGCCACTTTTGACCTTCAAAGTAATTAAATGCAAGGCGACAGTTCTTATTATCCTAGTGATTATCAATGTCACGCAACGTAACGCCATTGGAAACATGTCGGGGGTGCTGAAACATACCCGCGTAGAAACCGCAAATGAAATAATGATGTCGTTAAATTATAGAAAGAAATCCCGCGTTTCAAAATGAGCGGAAAGAAATGTAGGTTGAATGATCTCACGTCTGTCAGTTTGCATGTGTCGGCTACCAGATGAGTAAACTTCATTACCGATGTGAAGACCAGAAAAGGAAAGTGAGGGTCATGGGCTTTGGTGGTATATCGAGGCTAAGGTCTTCACACATGTGCTGCAACATGGGTAGCTTCAAGATCTTCAAAGAGTC